TGCTGATATTGGAGAACCCATAGCTCTTCCCGACGTTTGATCGTAAATTTGAATTTTATGTAAGTTTCGAATATCTACTTAAAACTGAGAGTTAGGGTTCTAGAAGTTTCAGAAATGGAACTAAAGTACGACTTTTGTTTGTTTTTGTTCGTAAATTTGACCGTTAAAAGACAAATATGATCCAAGCAAACAATTTTCAATTAAGATAAGAAGGTTTGATTCCAGAATCTCGGATTGTAATATTACTGAAATAATGTTGAGAGTTTCAGGAATAGAGATTTTAGTAAAGATTGATTCTATATTGAAACTTAACTTAATTTTGGATCTAAAGCAATTGATTTTAATTGTTAATAAAAGGAATTTATTTTGCAACTATCATTTTTCCTTGTAAAGGGTATTATTTTGCTAGAGAATATGTTGGAGAACGAATAGTGTTGACAATATCCTAGGTGTACTCCTGGTTTGTGAATCATAGAGACGAGAGGGGTCAATTAAAACATCTTAGATATGCTCTTCTCTCTAATAATTTCCACATTAGAGATGTTAAGCATTCCATCATTAAAGACAATGAGTCCGTTAAAACGAGATTTCCGAAAAAGGTAACATTCCGTTTGACATTGCAGGAGTTTACAGCCTTCCATGCATATGCGGCAAAGAATCCATTGGAGAGACAGAAAACGAATATAAAATTTTATTCAATAAAACTAAAATTCTTGCATTCTTGCGCGACCCTTGACCTTTCACCTATATTTGAATTAGTTATAGTTATAATTATATATAGTTATAGTTGCAGTTAAGCTCTGAAGAAGTCAAAAGCATGATTATCGAAACGTCAGTAAGTTTGACACAACCAACGTACGAATAGTCCAGAAGATTTGTAAATAGTGTTACCGTAGCCTGTGAAAGTTACTTTAAAGAAATAGGTTAATTTTATTATTAGTAAGGGGTGTTTTTTTTTCGATGTATAGAACCTTAAGTTGCAATAAAACAACGATGGATTTATCTGAAAAATAAACTTGTGGCATTATATTTTAAATATGATTTCTGCCATATGACCGCCACGGCTGGCGCGGATGTAATCCAATCTGGACGTCCAATTTTCGATGACTTTTTCCAACATTTGTGGCCGTATGTCGACAATAACACGGCGGATGTTGTCTTCCAAATAGTCAAGCGTTTGTGGCTTATCCGCATAGACCAATGACTTTACATAGCCCCACAGAAAGTAGTCCGGCGGTGTTAAATCACAAGATCTTGGAGGCCAATTCACAGGTCCAAAACGTGAAATTAGGCGGTCACTAAACGTGTCTTTCAATAAATCGATTGTGGCACGAACTGTGTGACATGTTGCGTCGTCTTGTTGAAACCACATCTCCTGGACATCATGGTTATTCAATTCAGGAATGAAAGAGTTAGTAATCATAGCTCTATACCGATCACCACTGACTGTAACGTTCTGGCCATCATCGTTTTTGAAGAAGTACGGATCAATGATTCCACCAGCCTATAAAGCCCAAACAGTCAGTTTTTCTGGATGTAACGGTGTTTCGACATACACTTGAGGATTAGCTTCGCTCCAAATGCGGCAGTTTTGTTTGTTGACTTAGCCATTCAACCAGAAGTGCGCTTCATCACTAAACAAAATTCGCTTATGAGAATCGGGAACCACGGCAATCTCGTTTTGGGCCCATTTGGGCACTATTTGCAAGCGTTGTTCAGCCGTGAGTCTATTCATGATGAACTGCCAAACCAAACTGAGAATAAATCACTTGACATCTGTTAAATCAGTCGCCATCTTGAACAGTTATGCCAACTTTAAGTTCTATACATCGAAAAAAAAAACACCGATTACTTCATGTCTAATGGATATTACAAGCAAATCACCCGTAGGAAACGTAGCCACCAATATTAGATTTAAAATGAACTTATTTTTTATAGGAGAACAATGCAATGCAATGTAAAATTTGAAATGAATGCGAAGGAACTACTAAAATCAAAGTATTTGGTTTTAATAAAATATTTGCATTTCCACCGTATGACAATGTATCTATAAATAGGTGGAAATTTTGTCTAGTCATTAATTTTATATTTTTTATTTATCATTGGGTTGTTTTCCTGCTCGCGTAGTTAACAAAAAAAAATTAAAAGAATTTTCTTGCAAGCATGTATTTCTAAACCTCTAATCATGGGACCTATTTTGGTTGATTTATCGGCAATTTGAATAACTCAATCACGCGTTGTTTGCAATGAAAGGAGAAATAACGCCTGTTCACTTTTCGGTTGTGCGAGGGAAAAACGGTCCGTCGATTTATTTGATGACGTTTGTCGGCATGTGGAGGGAAAAAATAACAAATAACTGTGTGCTCGTACAATTCTTGTACGACTTATATTCGATTTTACTCCAGATAATTTACGAGTCAGCGGTTGTCTTGCTAGGCGTAAAGTTTGGTATTACCTTAACGGAAGACTTGGGAGCAGGTGTTCCTTTCTCTGTAGAAACGTGATTAAAACCTATGACAGTTGCTTGTCTATTTTAGCTTTAGAGATTTTGTCGAGGTTAATATTCGTCACTCTCATCGTCGCTAAAGTGCTGCGTTGTCAGTCTCAAAAAATTCGCTATTTGTTACGCCTTGCGTTAACCAAAGAGGCATTTATTAAAGCCAGCGAAGATCAAAGAGTTAAACTGATTTATCAAAAGCACGTCAAACATTGTCGCCTGATGGTGTTTACTATCATGATACTAATGTGCGCGGTGTTGGGTTATTTCCTTGAAACTGGTGAGTAATGTTTCCCTTAAAATATTTCCGAGTAAGATTATTTTTTACCCTTCAATAATGAAATATGCCTAGAATTTTACGTAAGTTTCGAATATCAAAAAAACTAACCAAAACTTGTTTCGTTTTCGAAATAAAGGGTATCAAAGTTTATAGAAAATTGAAATGAGGTGGCTTTTACTTGATGAAAATCCATTTATCAAAATATATAAGAACTAAAAGTTCAGATTTTGAAGAAATTATATATTTTTTACATGACAATCGATTCGACAACACCGTGTCTTTATCAAATGAACATTTGGTTATATATATATATATATATATATATATATATATATATATATATATATATATATATATATATATATATATATATATATATATATATATATATATATATATATATATATATATATATATATATATATATATATATATATATATATATATATATATATATATATATATATATATATATATATATATATATATATAAACTTTTTTTTTTAATTATTTATTCAAAAACCTTTTATCTCATTTTTCTATAAATTTTGATACCCTGTATCTTGGACACAAAGCAAGTTAGGATACTGGCTTAAATTAAAAAAATATTTTTTCTTGGCTTGCGCTGAATTCCGAAGCATCCCGTATACGTTAGTGATGAAAAGATCTTCTAGATTCCTCCTTGACGGTTGTTTTTAAATCGAACCTGCTGACGTTTCGCAAATCACGGTATTGGCTTCTTCAGAGCATATCACTAAAACAGTTTGAGTTTTGAGCAGAGTGTATTTTTTAAAGCTTATTGCGCTGAAATCTTGCCTTGGTTTCAGCGACGGTGAAAACAATTCAGCTTCATAAATTTCAAGGATCCAGCAACGATACATTGGATAAACAAGCATCTGCGTTGTGTTCACTTTGTTTTTCCACGGAGCCGCACAATCGTTATCCATTTCGTTCATCCTTTTTTTAAGGTCGCAATTGAAAATACTTCAGTACCACTTCAGAAACTTTGACGTTTATCCAGTTGGTAGCGGAGACGCCTACATACAAATTGAGGATGTCGCTCAGCGTGCTTTAAAATTGCTAGCAATTAGACATCAAGAATTAATAAAGTGAGTAATATCTGGTTTTGTTTGTATCATCGTATCATGGCGTATTCTTTAAAATTATTTTTTAAATTTTTAAACAATTTCGTTTTTCTACTCCGTACTCTACAATAAAGAACATGCGGAAAGTGTCACACTAAGATTTTAGCTGTGTATTTTTACATAGGCACTAGTATTTACTTTAAATTTGATGAAATGTTATCTATAACAATTGCCACTTTTTTTCATTCAGAAATGTAATTTTATTCTATGAAACTGCAAAATGCAAATGCAATAATATGCAGGTGCTGATAAAAATGGAGAAAATCAATTCTAGCTATTATGCTAAATATTATATTACATTAAGAACATTACATATTCACATTTCCGCTTACATTTCCGATACTTTCCTTCCTGCGTTTAAATTTATTATTTATTATTCATTTCTTATGATTATGCTTATTTTTAAACACTGTGCAGTCATCAAACCAACTCCCAGAACTTTCGGTAGTATCTCTTGGATATTGATTAATGAATTTCTTCATCTAAAAATTGTATATTCGTCATAACCATATGGTTACGCGTAATGAAAAAAAAACGAACTTTATGTCGGAATTGATTTTCTCTTTAGATTGTGAGATTTTCGAAAACGCAAATCTAATTCAAAATTAACTTTAAAATACGTCATTGGCAATATTATTTTGTAATAGTTCTTGCCTAAATCAAACATCGTGCTTTGGAAATATCAAAATTTTGACTAGAACTTAATTGTCATTGTCATTGTCAAAGTTATCATTGCTTTTTAATTGTAGTTTTGGGTACAAACACAAAAAACAATTTTACAATAAAAATATTCTTAAACTATGAACCTCATGTCATTTTTGAGTTTTTCCTTGCTGTTCATATTTACATCAACCATTTAACTTTTTCTATTAGTATTTATCTTTACATCTTGTTCATCAAACATTTTATCGAGTTTATCCAGATCTAGCAACTATTGCAAATGCTTCTAGCTTTTCTGAGTTTCCACTTCGTAACGTTACTTTCATTTTTGATGAAGAATTCTGAGATAAAATGTAATAAAATACCAATTTTGTTTTCGTTCTAGGTGGCAAAAAGACTTAAATGACTCTTTCAAAAACCTGCTGTTATTAGAATATTCTCTGACGTCGTTCATGTTAGCAGCTGTTTTGTTTCAGATCTTTGCGGTAACTATAGATTGTGTTACTTATCTGTAACCACCTTGTGCCTCATTTTAGGAAAGAGATATTTTTTTTAATGTTCTTTACCTTTGTCTGTGTTTATCGCAGCTGTTGATACTTTCTTGGAATGCTAACGAAATTCTATTGCAAGTAATTTTGAAAGGCCTTGAACTGTTGTGCGTGATGCGATAAAGAAAATATTTCAGAGCACAGAACTATCGCAGACGCTATACGAGAGCAAGTGGGTTGACCAAAACGAAACGATTAAAGCTTGTATGCAGATTATGGTTGCCAGGTGCCTACGGCCATTAAGCTTAACAATCGGTCCGTTTGGATCCATTAATTTGGATGTTGCCATTTCGGTAAATATTAATTTTTGACTCACTTTTTCTACGCGGGGTATATATTTCAGAGAATCAAGCTGGCGTACACTTGTGTCTCGGTAATAACTGGTAAAAAGTGAAGCGATGGGATGAAAATGGAACTATAAAGTGAACTTAATGTTGAATTTAAGTATATAAATTTAAGTTAAGAACATTTCTTTTTTAATATCCTGTTTGTTATCTGTGTTCCAGAGTTACATTTAAAGAAAGGCAGCAAGGGCTTCGTATGCTACTCAATGGTACTCGCTATCAATTTTGAACTTTAGTTAGGTAGCATCACAGTATACTTATCTATATAAACTGAAGTGTATTATTTAATTTATCCCCTACTTTTGGAATTCTGTATTCAGGAGAAATGTCTCAACTAAACACTCCTTTTAAACTACCTTTTAAAAACATTAATATCGTTCCTGAAGTCAAGGGACAGAGGTTAACTCGATCTTGTGTCGATGCGAGGAGCCCTCCCTGGCTAAGGCGTCCGCTGCCTCATTGCCCCGGATACCGGTGTGACCCGGGACCCAGACCAACGTGACCTTTCTCTCCTCAGCCACCCTCTTCAGTATCCCTTTGCACTCCTTTATCAACAAGGAGCGCGTACGCACTGACTTCAGCGCCATGAGTGCAGCCCTATTATCCGAGCAGAAGAAGACTCTCCTGCTTCCGTAGTTGAGCCGAAGCACCTCTCTGGCCGCCATCAATAAAACGAAAATTTCCGCCTGAAACACAGTGCAGTACTGACCCAGAGGGACCGACAAGCTTGATCCCGTTGTCTCGCAGTACGCTCCAGCTCCGGCCAGATCTCCCATTCTGGACCCGTCCGTCATGACGTCACTCGCCATGCCCATGACCCCGCGATCCCCGCGACAGCCCTCTAAAATGTCGTACAGACCCCGATTGAAGGTTCCCTCCCTCCAGAGCCAGCAGCTCGCCAGCCTCACAGCTGTCCTGGCTGCCTCCGTCTGCACCCGATCCGCCAGAGAGGGCAGCCCCACCAGAGCCTCCAGGGCCCTCGTGGGCGCCGTTCTCATGGCGCCCGTTATGCAGAGGCAAGCCAATCTCTGCAGTCTGTCAAGAACTAGCCTTGCTCCCGCTCTTTTGGTCCCCGGCCACCATGCCACTGCCCCATGCGTGAGCATAGGCACCACCATGGTACCGTAGATCCACTGCATGATCTTCGGCCCCAGGCCCCAAGTGCCCCCTACCGCTCTCCGGCACGCCCACAGAGCTCCAAAGGCCGACCTGGTCCTTGATCTTATATGTTCCTGGAAGGTCAACTTAGAGTCCAACCATACGCCCAAGTACTTGACACTTCCGCTTGTAGAAAGAGGCACCCCATCCATCGAAATGTTGAGGTTGCACTCCATCTTCCTTTTCCTAGTGAAGATGACCATCTCCGCCTTGCCAGGATTGACAGCCAACTTGCTGTCCAGGCACCATTGTGAGAATCTTGCCAATGCCCCGTTCAGGAGCCCCTGCATCCTCCTCACGTCCGTCCCCTGCGTCATTATCACAAGGTCATCTGCATATTCCTGAGCATAGACCCCGTGTTCTTCCCTCAGAATATGCAATATCTCGTTCACCACTAGGCACCACAGGAACGGGGACAAGACCCCGCCCTGTGGACAACCCCGTGATGAACCGATGGAGACCTGCTCCCCACCCAGTCTTGCCTCGACCTTGCTGTCGGTTAGCATGGAGCGGATCCACCTTACAATGTCCGTCCCCTCTCCAGTACTCTCCACCGCCCTGCAGATCGAGTACAGGGCCGTGTTATTGAAAGCCCCTTCGATGTCAGCGAACATGCACACCGACAGCCGTCCCGAGCCCATACCCTCCTCCAACCTGGAAGTCAGATGGTGAAGAGCTGAGCCCACAGACCCGCCACTTCGGTACGCATGCTGAGCTGGCTCTAAAGGGGCCTCCAGCTCCACCAAGTCCCTCAGATACCGGTCCACCAGTCTCTCCAGAGTCTTCATAATGAAGCTGGTGAGGCAAACAGGCCGGTACGACTTCGGGTCCGTGTAGTCACTCTTCCCTACCTTGGGAATGAACACTACCTTAAATGTGGTATAGAGTGAGTTAAAAGACTATGATAACCAACATAAAAGGCCATTCTAAGAGGAAACAGGATTGAAAGAAATTACCAGAAGAATCGATTATGTAATATATATTTTTAAATATGCAGGGGTGTTTCCCGCTTGGGGATCGCCCCGTGTGTGAGGCGAGGAGCTCTTGAAGCCTGGGCGAGAAACCGGGCCGCGGTGGGCTGGAGAGTTGCTCCGGGAATGAGGTAGGCGAGGCTTATGATGGATGGGCCCGCCCTCCCTCGGACCAGGGAGCTGCTTAGACTGACCAGAAGGGAGTGTAGAGCACTAGCAGGGGCCTACACAGGACATTGCAGGCTTAGGAAGCATCTTTGCTTGCTAGGCATTGGAGACGACCCGGAGTGCAGGTGGTGCATGGAAGGGGAGGAGACCCCGTATCATCTGCTCACCGAGTGCCCTGCTTTGACATGGGCATGATTGGGAGTTTTCGGAACGGCCCTGATCGATCCGGACTCAGTGCACGGTATTGGGCTAAAGGAGTTGCTGACCTTCTATAGGAGGAGCGGCATTCTGGACGCCTTCTAGAGCGGCCTGGTGGCACAACGGGTCCATATGGTGGCCTAAGTGCTTGGACGCCCTCGAGGGCGCCCCCTTTAATACCAATACCAATGCAGGGGTGCTGAATTGGATTATAAATTAATTTTTAAAACGAGAATTACGAAGGACGTCCCAAAATGACAAAAATATATTTAAATTTAAAATATAAGTGAACCAAGCGAATTTTGTTTATGACGGTTTTCACATACTCGATTTATTTCAAGAAAACAATGAACAAAATCAAGAATGAATAAAACAAACTTCCCACTCTAATTGATAACGAAATAAACTATAGCTCCTAAACGATTTAGGAATGCTTCGTTTGAAAGGAGAGCTGATAGGGCGTCCTTTTTGCAGACTGTCCGGGAACGTTTAAAACGGAAAAGACATATATCACCGTCCGAAACAACAGACTGGAAACATCAGAATGTTCATAAATTATGCAAAGCTTTGGAAATATAATTTCGTCTTTGTTAGAGGGAAATGGAAAACGAATATTTCATGTGTTAAATGCATAACAAATTGCCTCAATTTTCTACTGCAACCCTAGTACCGAGAATAGCACTGTATTTTTTATTGAATTGTATAGAGTGTTGATTATTGAGTGGTAAATATCCATACACAGGGTGAAAAAATAAAAAAAGTTCATACAAATAAAGGTCCAGAAATGTTTAATTTCCAATATGGGTATCCAATATTTAATAAAATAACGGCTTGTTGGAAAATATTTTCATCATTTCAGTTAGTTATTTTTTTGAAATAAGCAACTGAGCAACAATTCCTGAATTAAACAAAGATCAGTATTCCTAACACAAAATAAAACATTTTATTAAATGTTCAAATTAACCAAAATTTCTTAAAAACAAATTAAAAGAGTATTAGTAGATTAATATATGAACTTATTTATATTGAACCGAAGTATTAGATCTTTAGAACAGCGTAAAATAAGGGATATACCTTATAAAAAAAATTATTTTCAAATTTCATTTTTCTCTAATAGTTGAGCATTTGCCGCTGAGGTTCTGTGCTGCATCCGAACTAGTTTTGACTTCCTGAAGATACTTCTGGTAATATTGATTAAGAAGACAGTGGCTCCATCTACTTTTAAAGATGTTCAAACAGCGAAATACGAAAAGCGTACTTGCTTGTGGGATAATTTGAGAAATTTTGTTTTAGTTCCGGTTTTTCCAAAAATAATTAGAGAAACAGCAAAACCAGTCGTGTTTTACATAAAACGAAACGCACGAAATGTCGAATACCATGTATTATATTATTAAGTTTTTTGTGTCCATCAGTTTGTCCAAAACCAACTTCAGAAAAAGTTTCGAACTTTCGGTAAAATTTCCAGTTTTAACATTAGCATTATGCTACACCCAACTAATAATATGGTACCACATTTTTTGGTCCGATATATAATTACGTCAAATATAAAACTAGACCGTCAAAATTATCCGCAGTTGACTTCCGATATGCCGACCGATACAAAACTGTTCGAATTGACTAAATGGATGTTAATAGTAAGCGGCACATATCGTACAAATTTGTTACAAAAATCTTTTATAGCAACTGCATTATATAAAATTTACTCTTTCTTAATTGTGTTTGTCTACGTTTTTTTCATTTTGCAACTTATAATCGACTTCTTAACCAGATACGGCAGTTTCACTACGCAAACAAGTAAATATATTTCTTCCGGTATTGTTGATGTCGCAAGAATTGTGTTTTTCCTACTTTTAGTGATGGAAAATTTATCGAAAACTTTATTCGGAATTCTGTTGCTCGTTAAGGTGTGGTTGAGTCAGTCTGAAAAACTTATAAGTTTGATTCAGTTAGCCATTAACGAAGAGAAAGAAATTTTTTACGGTGATGACAAAAGTTATCAAAAAATTTATAGAAATCACGTGAGATATTACTTCAGAATAACAACAGCAATCACTATGTATAGTTTTATTTTGGGCACCTACATGGTAGAAATTGGTGAGCATATATTGATTACTATTTTCTTATGGGCGTGCTGTTCAATACCGAAGCAAGCAAATGAAGCTTATTTTTTATATAACAAACAATCTCAGAAGAAAATTCCTTTTAAAATTTTAGGAAAATTCATATACCTACCTATGAGCTATACCTATAACATCTTTTACATCACAATATTCTTCCTCAATATTAAGCAGAGTTTCGCAAGGACCACAGTACGTGAGCAGCTCGCTTAGTAAAGATAACGTTTCTAAATATGTCAACATCTTTGATAATATTGCCTGAGGGGCTTCATCGCTTCGGGATGAGGAACAGTAATAATATTTTTATCCTTATGAATCAGCAATTATGCCTATTGAATCAGATATACTAAACAAGCTAGTTTTTAATTTAATTCATTAAAATTACCATAACATCTAAATGTTACTATATTTTCTTAACAGAACGCTGAAATAAAATCAGTAGTGATGCACTTTGCTTATTGAAACATTGCATATACAAATTTCCGGTTCAAAAAATAAATGGTAGTCGTTCAATATTTCAAATATAGGGGCCAAACCTGCCATATCTGAAAAATATTTGTCCTTTTATGCTGACAAAATGCATGATTTCTTTCCAGTTTTATCAAAAAAATAACACCTTCTAATTTAGTTTCACTTGCAAACTTAAATACAAACAAAACAAAAAAGATAGTCATTCCAGGCACTTCCTTGATATAATATGTGAGGCAATAGCATACCAGTATCAAGATGTTGATCTACTTATGTACTTTTTATCACCTACTTTACCTTACAACCTACTGATGATTAGTGTCAAATTGATATATTTTTTAATGGGATAGAAAAATATGGAGCCGTAGTGAATATGACACCTAAAAATAATCAAAATAAATAAGAACTAAAAGTTCAGATTTTCACGAATTTATATATTATGCCATGACAATTGTTTCGACAACACCGTGTCTTTATCAAAAATAATATATAATTTCGTGAAAATCTGAACTTTTAGTTCTTATTTATTTTGATAAATGGATTTTCATGAAGTAAAAGCCACCTCAGTTCAATTCCTAAAAATAATCCTGCATGGAAAGAGTTTACCTCATATTTTTTTCAGGCATCGATCGAAGCTATTCGTTTTACAAAGCAAATAAACATAGAAATGAAACTCTGAATAAACCTTTCTTGATGCCGCTTTGGTACCCCTTCGATAAGAACAAATATTACAGTTGGGCGTTCTGTTATGAAGTGGCAATGGTTTTTGTCACAGCTCTGTACACTTCCTCTGTATATGCGTTTATAAATTCTATTATAATATTTGCCAGGGCCCAAGTCAAGATATTGCAACACTCGTTCTCTAATTTCGATAATTACGCTGTCAAAATCAAACGTGAAAATTCAGACGATATTATTCTGGTGACGTTGAAAGCTTTCGTTATGAAACACCACAAGTTAATTAAGTACGTTAGGTTCATTTTTCGGATTCCCAGTATTTATCAGCAAATTTCAGTTGGTTGGACGAATTGGACAATTCGTTAAACGTTCTTCTCTTGTTGGAATACTCTATCACTTCGGTAACTCTGGCAGCCATCACAATTCAAATATACGCAGTGAGTGTAATACTATTTTTTTATATATTTTTGCTATAATAGTGTTTATACCTTTTCAAGGGCCGGGACTCTTTATATCAGGGCTTATATTTAACCCTTATATTTCTTCAACTGTTAATTTTGGCTTGGAACGCCGACGAAATTAAAGAACAGGCAATTCGCATTCAAAGCGCAAGCACCATTTGATTATAACTCAGTGGGCTTTTAGAGTTCAAATTTAGCTGATGCTCTGTATAGCAGCAACTGGTATGAGCAGACCCAAAAAGTAAAAGTATTCATACATATAATGATGGTGAGGTGTCAGAAACCGCTTACTCTCTCAATCGGTCCATTCGGAGCGATGACGGCAAATGCAGCCTTGTCGGTGAGTAAATTTTAACACTTGCATAGAGACATCGAATATATAATTTTTGGGTTCTTTCCAGAGGGCTAAGCTGGCATATTCCTACGTATCACTGATGTCTGGGAATAATAAACCATAATTGATAATGTTCCTTAGATTAGATTCTACTTCATCATTTAATGTTAACTCAAGAATCTTGCACAAACTGTTTTCTAGGGTTCCTATGGCATGTGCACTAACACAATCGCGTATTTTAAAAGAAAACTAATCGAAAAGTTTACGTGTTGCCTTGTAATTTGTTTATATCTGTCATATAATTTTTCACAGTCGGTTTATTCGGTTAGTAAAATGGAATTATTTATTAGACTAGCGACAGAGGCGTACCGACAATTTTTGAGCGACGGATGTAATTTATCAATCTGCGGTTTTTTATTGATTGTGGGCAGGTACTTGTAAAGAAGTACCCTCCTCTTAGTCATGATTTTAGCGAGTTAATTTGGTAGTTTAACAGAAATGAAATTAGGATCATCTCGAAGACGAGTCGATGCCACTGGATTTTTTATTATTTTATGCTTTCGCTGATAATACCGTCGGCGACCGACATATGTTGAAACATGTACTTAGCTCTCCCTTTTAAATATCCGTCACCGTATCGTGTACGTCAGACAGATGCGAAATGGCCACTGAAAAGGAGCTTTTTAAATCAGTCAAATTTCTCATGATCGCCGGTGGTATTTGGAGGTTACAAACTGCCACGTCCTCGTCAGTTTCATCTTGGGTCTATACCATTTATTCATACTCTATCCAATTGTTTTACAGTACCTTGATAGCCTCCTTGATAGTGGAATTCATCGTTCGATATCGCGCCAATAATATGGAGGGAGGTAAGATGTTAAACAGTTAACTAAAACTCAGACTCAATTACAATAAATAATGACCACAACAATCACGCCAAATTGTACGCTATTAATTTATTAAGTTATGACTCAGAAAATAATTTCATTGCATAAACAAAAAAGTTTTGCTAACCAAATTTCGCCAATATTTTCCATCTATCAGGCATATTGTGTCCAAGATGTCAAGTATTTTTGTTTAATTTTATAGCGTTCTAAGAATAGAATTCCCAGTCCGCTAAAAATATAGTGCAAAATTATACACTTTTATAAAATTTGAAGTATTTTTGGATAATGTCCGAATAAATATTTATTTTAAATTGTAGAAAAATAATTGTCCCACTTTTAATGGATGGCGAGGCGATAAATGTTTCTTTGATTCAAATAAATATGTTTTTTAAAACATCCAAAGTATTATTTAGGGAGGTACGCGTTTATGGGTTTTAAAGATTTTTTTGTTTGATAAGGATAATTTGTGTATATTAACTAATTAAATAGTTGATGAATTAGGTCAAATATTTATGTAATTTTATTTACATAGCTGATGTTACTTGGATGAAAGACATTTATTTGACTTCAGATTTCTTTCTTATTTGGAACGAGGATTTCATTATTTGATATAAATAAATTAGTTGCTTAGTCATAGAACTGAATTTTATTAGTTCATGTACATTTCTGCTTAAAGGTTCGGCATTTTATAGTTTTTAAATCAGCAATGACAGCCATCTGATTTATAATAAAGTAATAAAGTAGATTAATTTGTAACATTTTATTGAAGAACTAATGTATTCAGTTGATAATCATATTTAAAATTTTTAAATTGAACTATAGGGAATGGTGATTAAAAAAATACTAGCAAATGCTTAATAAATAACTTTTTATTAATAATCTGAAACTATAACAACATTTTTCTAAACAACAATTAAGATATGTAATATATATTGATTTTAAATTACATGTTGTTTAGTCAGTGGTTCATCTTCGCTAGAACAAGAAAATTTTTCAGAAATAAATATTAATAATTAAGTTTAATCTTAAATATTACTTTGGTATGACCTCGACCTGACAATGTATTTTTTTATTGTGGCTGGACAGTTAGTTAAAGGAAATACTATTAATTAAGATAAAATAATTTCTTACCTAAATTGTGCGAACAGGTGGGTAGAGAGTTTCTATTGAGATTAAAAAACTAAATATTCAAATTTAAGGTGTAAAATTGAATTAATTCACTTTCTTTATGCCTTGGAATATTGATCTACATAGAATACTACATAATGGATATTATATTTAAATGACCACCTACATAAAGTTTTAAATTTTGTAAGTACCACAAATGACTCACGCCATTATAATGAAAAATATTTCCATGTTCATAATAATTGTTACAGTTTCGCTTTCAAAAACAAATAAACTTAAGACCCTGCAGTTACCAAACTGCTAAAAAAAAGCACAATAGCCGCGTTGAGATAAGGAAAGTCATGTTTGTTAGAGGGTCCGATTGTTAAACATAGTTATTAATTACTTGGTTAAATAAACAATTATTTGCCATAAATAAATTTACAAAAAAACAAATAATGGAAAATATTCAAATTCACACTGCTGGTATCAAATAAATATACAAACAATAAACTAAATTAAAAAAAATTCTTGTAATTTTTGGTAATTTTTTTTTCAGTGTAGTTCACGAAAGTTAATGAGCCTTTATTATATTTACTTTGCTCGTATATCTGTTACGAAAAATCATAATCATATATATTTGTATTATAGCTATCGAAAATTTGTCGAAGACAATATTCGGTATCCTTCTCGTGCTCAAACTGCTACTCTGCCAAACCAACAAGTTCGTGAATCTGACGAGATCTGCAATTAAAGAGGAAGAGGGAGTTTTTGAAAAAAAGGACAAAGCAATCCAAACGATATATAAGTCCCATGTACGTTATTGCTCGAAGATAACTTACACCGTAGCGGTATATTCGTTTTTGTTGGGAGGATATCTAATAGAAATAGGTAGGTCACTTCAAAAGCCAGTTCAAAAATACAGAAAATAAAGCTAAGTAAATATGCGGGTTCACAGATTCTATAGGGGAGGGGTTCTGAACTAAGTAAGAAAGTTTTCTAAGCTCCGTGGAGAACACATCTACACGGCAAGCCCCAATTGCTGATAGATATACAGGATCGGCTAATAAGTCTTGCCAAATAAGCACCGGTGGATCAACTGAGGACAATACGGAATGATCGCCGGTATAAGCTTATCGATCAACAGCTTCGGGTGGAGGGGTAAGGATAAGGGCACCTTTTTGTCTGGCATTAGTCACTAGTACAATAAACATGACTAGTATAACTAGTATCCCTACTGATCCTGGAATTCGGATCCAAGTCCCGACAGAGGAGGACAAGACCTTCCCGGTCGTAAGCCTGCTAAACATTTGCAAGGTAAAAAAGACAAAAAAAAACATTAAGGGAAAACGCACCTGGTACGTCAAAACAATGACCCAAGCTGGTAAAATTCATAACGCCTTGAAAGAGATGATAGCACTGAAAATATAAATTATGGACGAGTGAGATGAGATGGCCTGGCTCTAGCTATTGCGACAACATGCAGAGAAGATATTACACAAAAAAGTACATAGAACAATTATTTTCTGATAAATATACGGAATCTGGACCCACTACAATGACAGATGAAGTTAGAGTCGCCATTAACAAATTAAAATCAGGAAAAACTCAGGACCAGATGAAATGCATTCGAAATTCTTTAAACTTCTTGATGATGAATCGGTTAAATTACTGACTAATATATTCAATAACACCTACCAAGTGGGGACCTCCCAAAAAATTGCTAATCGCAGAATTTATAGTCCTACCAAAGAAACAGGGGGCCAAAACAGGTGGTGACTATCGAACTATCAGTCTTATGAGTCACATACTGAAGGTGTTCCTTAAAATCAGCCTTCGGATAGTCTATAAATATGCCAGGAAAGATTATCTAACACCCAGTTTGGATTGATGAAGCATGTGGGCACAAGGGATGCGTTTTGAATGCAAGTATTCTTCCAACATTGCAGGGATATGAACTGTGATATTTTCGCTTGTTTTATTGACTATAAAAAAGATCTCGACAAAATAAGGCATGAAAAGATGATGGAGGTTTTGAGAAAGACGTGAATAGATAATAAAGATCTCAGAATTATCAGGAACCTTTAGTCAGCCCATATTAAGATCAGTATGGGCGAGCAGATCGACGCAATCCCCGTGAAGTTAGGCAGGGGTGCATCGGCACTCATTTTAAATCTGTACTCAGAAGAAATCTTCAGTGAAGCCCTTGAAAATACAGACATAGAAATTCTTCTAGATGATGATATTGTGATAACAGATATGAGCCGTCAATATGGCTTAGAACTCAACAAAGAATAGAAAAACAGAAATAGGTGCGAGGTAAGACCTTATGATTAACAACACACATATAGAAAGGGTTTCACAATTCATCTACTTGGGAATCATAATTAGCGAGGATTGGAATCAGTCACAGGAAATTAGAATTAGAACAGAGTAAGTAGGCGCCACCTCCAATCAAATGGCTAAATTGTTTAAAAGTCACCACAGTCTCAAGATAGACATCAAAATCAATAGATCGTATAGTTTGTCCATACTTTTTCTATGGAACTGAGTAATTAACATCTACTGAAATAACCGAAAAAAGGGCGGAGGTCTTTAAAATGTGGCTTTACCGAAGAATATGGATCAACAGAGTGACCAACAAAAAAGTACTAGAACGGATGCAAAAACATTTAGAATCAACACCACCAACAACCAACAACAACCCAATTATTTAGTCGCAAAGCTAGATTGACTGCCAATAATCAGAACGAATAGGCACTTGAAGAAGAAATATGTATTCTTACTGCTTTAAAAGTGGAAATAAATTCTGATATACTGTGAATCAATTATTTTTCTATTTAATCCAATAAATTAATGAAAAAATAAGCAGAAAAGCAAAAAATCATATAGCAGAGATAACTAAACAATTATATTGCACTATGTTGGTCCAAAGCTATCTGAAGTGATCGTAATTTCTGTTAATCCCCCTCGGTTGGTCTCGAACCAAAACGTTTTATGCCATAGTCCGTTATACTGGATTGCCCGTGAAGTGATAGCAATGATTGGGTGCATCTGTTTTGGAGATACATGGCATCCAAGAGTAGACAGGAGACTAGGGCAATAATATCAACTGAATGAAAGGGCAATGTAATGTTTTCTATTGCATTTATCAATTTATAATTCAGTTTATGAAAGTTGCTTCTTGCAAAGCAACCGCAATTGCTAGTTTTGACTTAATTT